TGGTTTAAGGGGAGAAAAGACCCAAAAAAAAATGGACCAGTGTCGCCGGGGATCCTCTTATTTTATTTTTTCTCTGTTTATTTTGCCCTTGTTAGTCTCCGGAGCTTTCGGGGGCGCGAGCACTCTAGGGCTGGGGGCATGTAAGAACAGGCCAGGGTAAGCGGCGGGAGGCGGGGGACGCGGGCGGGTCAGGGGCCGGGCTGGGTCGGGCGGGGGAGGCGCGGGGTCCGGGGGGTAAGTGAGGGGGTACGGCTGGGGGCACTGGTGCCTGGGCGCGGAGGGAGGAGGGGGCCGGCGGGCTGGCGGGGAAGCGGCGCGGGGCTGCCACGTGAGAGCTGGAGCCGGGGGTGCGGGGTGCCTGCAAGGTGCTGGAGGCGGAGATCAGGCTGGGCTCTAGCATCCCCCCCTCGCCCCAAACTCCTACCAATCAGGTCATGGGTAGCCCAGCATCCTTCAAAGCCCCCACCCACCCACTCGCACAGGAACGTGGTGGGGACAACAGCAGGCAGACGGTGACTCGGCCCACGGGACCCAAAAAGCCGGGTCCTCAGTCTGGGGCAGAGACTCCGCCATCCAGGCCCAGGGGAGAGGACGAGAGGCGGGCTTGGCCCCTGGGTGAGTCCCCAGGCTCTTCCCGGGCGAGCGCTGTCTGCAGACTCACTGCAGAGCGCAGGCCTTGGGGAGGGAGGCTCAGGGGCTGGGCCCTGCTGCTCTGGACAGCCCGCACTCACCCCCACCTGCTGGGCGTGCTGGATTAGTAGACACTTAGACCCAGGACCCCTGCCTGGGAAGAAGGAGGGGGCACCGGTCACCTCTGAGTCAGGGACAGGGCCACACTTGGGCCTGGTGAGTTCCAGGAGGCTGCCCCAGCCTAGGGGCCTCTCTTGCACCGCTTCTGGTGCTAGCACCGTGACCCGCTTTTATTTCCCGTTATTCCCCCTAAAGGACTGATTCCTGGGCAGGAAGTGTGGTGTCCAGGCGGATGTGCAGGTAGGGGACATCCTAGGTACCTGAGTTGCCACCCAGAGAGAGGCAGAGGACTCCTCTTGGGTTCCTTGTCCGCTACCTGCCCTGGATGTCCCCCTCCCCACCTGCTTGTCTGGTTATGTAATTAACCCAGCTGAGGTTCTCTGCCAAGCTGGCAGTGTCCAGGGGTGCCTGAGGGGCCGAGGGCCTGGAGGGGTTGAGGGAGAGGAGGGACTGGGACTTACCCGGTTGGGAGCCCATAAGCACCTGTTGAGGAGAAGACACTACATGGGGCAGGAAGGCGGTCAGGGTCCTGCTCTTAGTTGACAGCTCAACTGGCTCTGCGGTCACTTCCCTAAGTCTCTGGGGGTTGCTTTTGGTTCTTGTTTTTACCGTCAATAAAATGGGGGAAAGAATCACACACACACACACACACACACACACAAAGCATGTTTGTAAACAGCAGTGGATGGTGACCCATCCCGGGGTTGCTAGGAGGTCCTAGCAGCCTTAGATGGAGGTGCATAGCAATGGCCACTCCTCATTGGACACCTACTCTGTGCCAGGCTCCTGGTGTTACCTGTACAACCACACCACACCCTGTGAAGTTTCATGCCCAAGGTCACACTTGAGGTGAGTGGCAAAGCTGGGAATCCAACCCCGGTGTGTCTCACTCCAAATCCTGCCTGTATGTACTATGCTGTCAGTACCAGGACCTGGCGGATTAGGTCCTCTGGACTAGGAAAGACCGCAGTGCATTCAGCTGTGAACTGTGCATGTGTGGAAAGAGCATGCATCCGCACAGAACACATACATGCAGCCTGAAAAGCACAGCCCTAAATCCAGCAAACCCATCTCCCCTGGACCCCCTTTGCAGGCACTGGTCTCATCCTTCCTGGGAATAGTCCCCCAACAATGTCTCAGGCAGGTAGCAGCTCCCTGGTCATCGTCAGGTGGTGCCAGCAGCCCGGGCCCCGCTCTCCTGGCAGCAGCAACTGGAGGCCTTTGACAACTACTTGTATCTGGTCTACGGCCCGGCCCTGCTGGTGGGTGGGGTGCTTCCCCGCACCAGCCCCGCACCAGCCCCTTCCTCCATCCTGGGGCTCTGACACCACCCCCTGCCCTGCCTGCACCCCCCAGGGCATGCATCCCAGGACAGAGTCCCAGCAGTGGACCAGCACGGCCATCACAGTGGAGAAGAATGGGGATGTGTCGAGCGTCACCCCCAGTCTGGCGAAGGCTGGGGTCCGCACTGACTCTCCCAAAATGCTGACCCAACGGGACCGGGGGGCCCTGAGCCAGCGCTTCGCCCACCCTCCCCGAGTCACCCTGCCCATCCCACCCACCCACAAGCGGGAACACAGCAGGGCATCCCAGGTGAGGCCTCCCACTGCTGCACCACCTCCGCCCTGACTGCAGGAGCCTACACGAGGCCCTGACGCTGTGGGTGCCCCCACCTGCGGGCTCAGTCCGGACTGAGCTCCGTTCCCGGGGCCTCCCTGTTGACACTGCGGATCTCCTCTGAGTGGCCACATACAGTGAAAGCCTGGATCCCCCCCAAGACCCGGCTTCCTCCACTCGAGAACAGGCTATCGGCCCACGCCCGACGAGAAGTGTACAGACCATCCCCCCAGGCCCCAGATG